AGGGAGGCAGCAATGCCATGCAGAGGTAGATTAGGGTGAGGTGGTGGACATTGGGTCCGGCTAGCCTTCCCATAACTAAAGATTGATCTGAAACAAGAAAAAGAGGAAACCTCACCCATTAAACAATGTGAAATAGGAGGAGGATGGATTAAAGAGGGATGAACTAATGTGGAACAGGGTGATACAGAAATATTTTATTGATATGGAAAAAAGATACACACTTCCCAAACTTGAACAGTCGCTTATGATACTAAATAAGCTTAAAGACCTAATTTGAACAATTCTAATCAGTAGCTAATGAAGGGGAAGAATTATGATGTATGCTTTGTGGTAGCATCCCACTTTAACCACACCCAGCTATGTGTATCTACAGTGCATTAGGAATAGATTGATTCTCAAGCACCCTGAAACACATGGTAAAGAGTGATGGGAACAAATATGGATGAATGGGCAGGTTGGAATGGAACTGTGACAATCACTACTTTCTCTAAGAAACACAGCAATCAGGTCCCAGGAGGTTAGGAGGTTAATGACAGTGATGAACCTGTGGGCCTGAAACATGTTGATGGATCAAACATTGATGGCTGGATGATGGGGGGTATGGAGGACTGTGATGTATCCAGACCTGCGTGGAAGACCACAGTGTTCTTCCTGCATCCCGACAGCAGCTGTAGGTTTCGGAAAAGCCCTTTGGCTTTCAGCTTCACATGGAAGTTGGACAGCGACAGTCTGGGAGACCATAGCATGTCTTCTTCTGTCCCTAAACTGATGTTTCAGTCTGGACTGTTTTTTTTGTGTAAGAACTTTGTACTTTCAGCGCCTTCTCTGCTCCACTCTCAAACAGTCGTGCAGGAAACACAGAGTTCTTTACGTGGTCCAAATCCCCAGTGTTGCTGGTTACTGTTGTCACCTACACTTCAGGAAATGATGTCCTTATTATATTATTTTCTAGCGCCCCCAAAGCATTTCTGTACAAGAATAATTTGTAATTCACTGTAGTTGCTTCAAACTGAAGTCCTTACTCTCGTCAGAAGTATAAATGATTTGTCTTTAATGTCAAGATGTGTAAATAATTCCAATCAAAAAGAAAAGACTTTTGCTCCAAGAATGTCTGCCTTGCATCTCCATGTCAGCCACGTGGTGATCAGAAAATACAAAATAAAACAGGAGTTATCATTTCAAAGGGAAAAAGGAGTCTGTTGTTTTAAAGCTCAATAAATAACAAAGAAGACCTTTGACCGGCACTTTTCTAATTTTGGCCGGAAGATTTAAACTTTAACGGACATCTTGACCGGCGAAAGAAACTGAAACTGAAACTCTGCCGCACGGTCCCCTCGTTCCTTGGAAGAGGCGGAGAGGTGGGTGTTTGTCATCTGCTGGTGGACTAACCGGAGAGAATTACAGTGCTTGCCTCGACGGGGAGGGATTGCATTGAATTAAAGCAGCGGGAGCAAACGCTTGCCTCAGGGAGGGAGAAAAAAAGCCACAGCGGAGAATAAACAGAAGGGTAACCATGGTAACTATGGGCGGGAAGTCTTCTTCGTTGCTTTTGTGGCAGACTACAGCGCCACTTAAAGGCCTGGCATATGTACTACAGCATCTCCAGCGCTTTCGAGCAGCAATGGCCGGCCGTGGCCCAACCCCACATTCCCCTGATAGGTGGAGAGTTGGCCCAATAGCCGTAGCGCCACCGTCCTGACGTCAGGACAGTGTTCAAATCTGGATCAGTTTTGATCAGATCCGTTGCAGCCCCTTTTTTAGAGATTTGGGTATGGAGGAAAATAGAGAGGGTTGTGTTTTCTGACACTTGGTGAGTTCCCTGGAACACCAGGGACACATATTCATGTATAAAAGACGTACAAAAGTGCATTTTGCATGATAGGTCCCCTTTAAGTAAGCTTTCTTAACGGTAATTAGTCTGCTCCGGAGCAGGTTTGGTGTTCAGCATAAGTTACCATGGAGATCTACCCCGGTAAGAAGTGAACCAGCGTCGTAGGACCGAAAACCCAGAGTTAACCCTGAAGTTAGCTCGCTAACCGCAAATTCTGCTTCGTAGTACAGGGCACAGGTCACTGGTGTCTCTTAACCTGTTAAATGTTATATTGTGTTGCTATGCTGCATGTATCTGTAAAGTTCTTCACATCTGATCTGAGGGGAATTTCTTGTGGTTTATTTTTAACTTGTGATGTGTGCCATTTTGTAAAGCAATTTGAGCTGCACGTGCTGTATGAAAAGTGCTGTATAATAAATAAAGCTTATTATTATTATCCTCTGCACAATTTTTTTATTTTTTTTATTTTACCTTTATTTAACCAGGATAGGTCTCATTGAGATTAAAAATCTCTTTTTCAAGAGAGTCCTGGCCCAAGAATGGTAACAGCACAGTTACAGACAGTTTTACAGTTACAGACAATTAAAAAACACACAATCACAACACAGTCATACACCAAGTTTAGCCAAAGCATTTACAGACACAGCGGCCTGCTTCAAGGTCAGTTAAAGTTGCTTTGAGTGTGTTTAATGAGACCAGCTCTCTGAGTTTCAGCTCAGTTTGAAGCAGGTTCCAAGCTTGAGGGGCAGCGTAACCAGTGGCGGTTCTACGGGGTGGCACGGGGTGGCTGGTGGATGCCTTGCCACCCTAGTTGCCACGCCAGTTGGCAGCTTTGTTTTGAAAGAAAAGTTGTGGCTCATCAGACATTTATGAGATAAAATCTCTAATGTCCGAGTGCAAGTGAATGCAGCACAAGACGCGAGCCTTGTAACCCCTCCCCCGGCCCTGGCGCGAGCGTGGAAATATGATTGGCGGCGATTTCATTTGAACAGGACGGCGCAAAACGAGAAGCATTTCGGATCCAAGCAGACGGAAGGAATGAGGTATTTGCGGTCTACAATGACAGAGAAGAGACTGTCAAGTTTGGCTGTACTCAGCATTGAATCAAAACGCACTAAAGCTTTAGATCTTAATACGTTTGTGAGGCGTTTTGCTGAACAAGATGGTAATCGCCGCATTCAGCTGTTATAGGCATGCCAACTGGATGCTCTGCTCACGGATGACTCGATGAGCATAATAAACTGTTAAGATGATGACCTTACGTGTGTATAACATTTTTCTTCTTTGTGGGGGTCTGCCCCCACAAACAGTTTAAAATAAGAATGTAAATATAAGTCATAAATAAGGTGTGTAAAACTACACTGCCCAGCCAAAAAAAAGTAACCACTTTGATTTAACTAGGCCAGTAGGTAAGGACTTTCCACTGGATAATAACTTACTGCAGTGATGTATATGTTTGAGCTGAATACACGTTTTTTTAACCCTAACTGATGCAGTTAGTCACTTCTTTAATGTTTGTTCTTTCTGATGTAAAGTCAAGGTTGTAACTGTTCTTTTGATTCTTTTGATATATGATAGTAATTTGTCTTTCAAATTTGAAGGAGGGTGAGCAAGCATCTTGAGGAACATTCATCATTAACTCCTCCAAAAAATATAGTTTATTCAATAATAAATGAATATGTGAATCATAACAGTGATTGACAGCTGATAGGAATAATATGATTGTTAATAGTATCATATTCATTCAGACAAACATCGATGAGACAGTTCATTCATGTACTTATTGCAGCAGTCTTCATAGATTTGGTACCCCTGCTGGTCTAAGAGTGAAACCAACTCATTCAGTTATTGTTCAGTTAAAATTCATTAAATGATGTCTGTCACCTTATATATTTATATGTAAGGCTTTACTGATGTGCCACAATAATGTCACCAAATGTTATTGAGTTAAAATATAAATATTGTGGCTTTCCAAGTTAACATTGATTAATATGACTGCGATTAAATCAGCATATACTTCTGCCAGGGGATGCCACCCCTCAAAATCTCCTGCCACCCTCTTGCCACTCTATGAATATTTTTCTAGATCCACCCCTGAGCGTAACTGAACGCCCTTTTCCCCAGTTCAGTACGGACCTTTGGTACAGTTAAAAGGAAAAAGTTCTCGGAGCGAAGCCGATAAGATCCAGTGCAATGTTCAATGCTTCCTCCAGCTGGCAGCAGGAGGCTCCACAGAATCTCATGCTCACTTTGACAGGAAGAGCTAAAGAAAGCCACTAGGTGCTTTAGAAGCCTACTCTGCTAACACTGTGTGTGTGTGTGTGTGTGTGTGTGTGTGTGTGTGTGTGTGTGTGTGTGTGTGTGTGTGTGTGTGTGTGTGTGTGTGTGTGTGTGTGTGTGTGTGTGTGTGTGTGTGTTAGGGACACAGACAGAATGCTGCCAACAGTCTTCAGATGGTTTCTCACTACCAACCCAGATAGCTGCACCAAATCCTACCACAAACATTCCCAAGTACACAAGAACAATATGGAGGTAGATTTATCGACAATGTTAATGTGTAATTAGAAGACAGTTTCTTCTGTAACACCTTCAACAAATGCATGATACAGGTACATTTTTGTTCAAACTAGCGGAACGTATGTGTCTCAAAGATTGAAAATTGTAAATGGTCAAAAGATATTAACAAAAGCTTTTCATTTTGTAGTAAATTAATTAAATGCATTGACAGGTTTTGTTTTAATTGTGGAATTTATTTGTATATTGCCAAATATTTATTTCATGTGTGATATTTATTTAGCATATATTACACACTGAATGTGGACCAGCGCTTAGCTCACACACACACACACACAGGGGCGCCCCTTGGGGGCAACTCCTTGGGGCCCCGGACCAGAAGGGGGCCCCCAAAGAAGGTAGATTAAGAAGATCCACAGCAACGACAACATGAAACACCCTTTTATTTACTGCAACGACATGTCGGGAAACCCCCTCAAGGGGTCCCCATGCATAGCGCGCCGTTAAAAGCTGCTTCCTAATTTCAGTTTCGCTGCTCCGCTCTGTGGGGGGGGGGTGCCACTGCACACACAGACACACAGACACACACACACACACACACACACACACACACACACACACACACACACACACACACACACACACACAACCTTACCAATGCTGTTCAGTCGACTGAGTCTTGCTGAGCCGCTTCTTTGCAGGTGATTCTGGGATGTCTGCTTTGTCAGGCTCTGATTGGCTGCAGGAGCTGTCTTTGCTGCTGTTTGATTGGCAGCTGCTGCCTTGGCTGTATTGTGGTTAATGACTGTTGGCACCTTCAAACCTGTGAAGAGGACACAGACGAGGTCAAAGCCAATGGCAAACACACACAAACACACGCACGCACACACACACACGCACGCACGCACGCACGCACGCACACTCACACACACACCTGTAGCAGTGGTCCTGGCCTGCACAGACTGAGCTCTGCCCCTCGATGCAGGAGTTTTTGGGGCAGCAGAGATCAGCGCCTCACTGGCAGTGCTGGTGCTGGTGGAGGCTGCCGGGCTGGGGGGGAGGGGCTTTGCCGGGCTCTGGGTGCCCACAGGAAGTGTGCTTCTGCTGGGCTGCTCCTCTGGCATGATCACTGTTGGTGCTGGAGCTGCCGGAGAGGCTGAAGGAAAGATGATACAAAATATATAAACAAACAAAGTATGCTTAGATGGAAGTGATTACCTTTAATATTTTACATTGCTTAATTCAACTCAGGACTTAAGCGGCTTTCACACCAGCGCTTTTCCCATTCTAGCTCCGTGCTAGAGCTTTTCTGGTTCAGCTCCGGTTTTCCTTTTCTGCTCCCGCTTTGTTCACACCACTCAGAGCCGGGATGGTGCTGCCACTGCTGCGTCATGATGTCACCGTTTACATTGCTGATTTTCTCCCCAACGGAGCTCACAACAACAACAACAACGGGGGACTGCGTCGGGTCGATGATCGTGTTGCTTTTAATCATACGAACAGTGGCGACTGGTCATTAGGGGCAGGTGGGGCACAGCCCCACCTAGTGTCAGCAGAAAGTATTACAAATAATGATTACAAAAATGCAAAAAAAAAAATAAAAAAATATATAAAATATATTTTAAGATCATGTTTAATCATCTGATTCGTCTGCACATTTCTGTTTTAGTCTGTGTTCTTTTAATTAGTGTGTCTACAGTCACAGTGTGTGCCTATTGAGCTGTTTAGAGCCATGTGGGACAAAACCTGATTATGCCCCTTCCTCTCGCTGTGAAGTCAACGTTGACTGTAAAAACTACACTGCGCATGCTCAGAGTATTTTGTAATGAAATGTGTGTGGCAAAAAAATAATGACCAGAGGGGCACGGAGCTACCATCCCCACCATACGTCATCTCAAATCATTCAGAGCTGATTGGCTGTAAGTACGTGTGCCGCGAAAAGTGTGGCGTGTGAAGAGGAGACGAGAGAGCTGCAGTGGCGCGTCCTAAAACCAGGAAGTAAGCACAAAAAAGCAATGAGATTTCTCCAGAGGATTTTAGAAAATAGCTCGAAATAAGATCTGTGGGAAACGTACCTGTTAGATAAATGCACGTTTTGATTAGCCGGATAATATCCACATGTCTACCCTACTTTTATAATTTTTTTATCATAAATCTATGAATTAGATTTGAAACTACAAGAAGATAAGGAGGACTTTTACAAAAAAGTAATAGAAATGTTTGTCCAGAAGGATAGGAAAATGGACTTCATCTTCAAGTCAAGGTAAGACCGCCATTTTATTGAAAATGGGATCTTACTAAGAGAGAACAATTCAATATTTAAATGATAAAATTACATTTTTTGGGTATCCTTTTGTTGAACTGTCTGTTTAAAATTAATCGAAGCATCAGACAAAAAAAGCTTTTGAAAATAATATTATATTTTGGTTTAGGTCAAAATATAATATTTGTAAACCTGAAGAGTCAGTGCCAGTGCCTCACCAGCCATGAACCTCACTGCACGTCACTGCAGAAGCTTATATATAGACATCTAAGTTTTTTGTGCCCCACCACTTTTGTACATATAAAAACGCCACTGCATACGAAGCCAGATTAAATTAAAGAACGACTTCTCCAACCTTATGCTTTTCTCCAGAGTGCCGTGGTTCATTGTTTATTAATGTGTTTCAGCTGCATTTAGCGACCGCTGCAGTGCTGGCTGCTCTTCCACGGGAGTTTATTCTCCCGTTAGCTCCGGGTTAGCTCACACGGCTCTAAAGTATTCACTGTCTGACTGTCACACAAGCAGCTGATACATATCCCCAGTTCCCCTTAAGTGAATGTGTGTCAGTCTGAATTGACGCTGTTTGGCATCACAACGCTGTTATGAAAGTTTCTCTGGTATAACATGGGTGATGTTAGCATAGCAACCGAAGCTAAACTGACTACTTGCTAAGCCGTTTTCTCCAGGCACATTTTACCGGCGTATTTTTCATTACGATTCTACTTGTGATAGTTGGACATGACAACCTGTGCAGCCCATGTATTGATTCCATCCGATAGCTGCTATAATAACAAACAAAACGTCTGCCTGCTCTCCACAATGATCAATAACAGCGAACGGATGGTCAAAGTAAGGTACAAATAAACAGAATCACACGAAGCCTGGTTAGTGTTGCCTGACTTTATAAAGTGTGTTTTTTTTTATAAGTGTGTGGTTGCCTTCTAGTCACTTTGCTCAGCGCTACTGCTTGTAGGCAGGCATGACGAGACTCTTCAGTCGACCCATGTTCAGGGGAGGTGGGTTTAGTTTCCTGCACGCCTCGACGTAAAGGTCTCTACACACCAACCCGATTTTGGGAGTCAGAGGTCATCAAAGGCAGTCGGGCATTCGCGGCGCCCTACTCAGGTTCGTGTGTCCCGCACCATCGTCTCTTTACGGCACCTTTTCACACCTCCCGATGCCTCCCGCGGCCGATTCAACATGTTGAATCGGCCGCGGGAGGTCAGAGAAAGTCGGCCCAAGCAATCACTCTGATTGGATGTTCACACTACCGCTGCCTGCTGGTAAGGACAGTTATTGCCACTCGTCGACTGAAGTATTTGCTGTGTGTTCGTAGGCGGGCGGCGTAGCCGACGCAGGCGGCGTAGCTGACGTAAAAGTCGGGACGCCTTCGGTACGCGTTCTTTGGTCTCAGGTGGGTGTGTAGCGGCCTAAGAGAGACGTAAGCAACGCCGCCTCTTAGCTCCGAAGCTCTTGCTTCTAGACCGACAATTTTTTGGAGCTGGAAACGAACCGGATTCCGGAGCTAAGAAGCGGCGCCGCTGCGGTGTGAAGAGGAAAAACCGGTACTTTTCAGGCTCTAGCTCCGAGCCGGCGCTGAAAACGCGTTGGTGTGAAAGGGGCATTAGAGGTTATGTGGCATGCGCTTTAACAGTCGGCTAAAAAGGCCCTTCGGAAGAGCAGAAAAAGAGCATGATTTTGTTCTGCACTGCTAAAGAAGTTAAACCTGGCCAAGCAAATGATGGTGAACATCTCTAACTGCCACCATCGAGTCCATCCTCACCTCCTTCCTCATCCTCAACTCCTTCCTCATCCTCACCTCCTCCATCACCATCTGGTACGCTGCAGCTACAGCTAAGGACAATCCGCTTTATTCAGAAGGTCATTGGCTGCAGTCTGCCCTCCCCCCAGGACCCTCCAGGCAGACTGTGGCTGACCCCTCCCACCCTAGACACAGTTTTACCCGCTCCCCTCTGGCAGGAGGCTGCCATCCATCAGGACCAAAACCTCTCGCCACAGTTTCTTACCATCTGCTACCAGCCTCATCAACACACACAGGGTCCTAACCCTAACCCGCTGACACTGACTTTACCCCCCCATAGAAACTTTGCCTATACATTAATGCACAGCATGGGAACAAATCATGTACTGCAAATCCTGCACACCCCTCTGTATATTTTGCACATTTCTGTTCAAAGCATGCACTGACTCTCCAATGTCTCAGAGAAAACAAAAGCTGTATGTTCCACTGGAACCCATGATGATCATTTGAAATGCCATGTGAACCTGATTAACACATGTGATGTTCGCTCTCCTGTAGAGTGTTCTAAAGGTGTCTGCGTATGTAAATAGCCTGCAAAGGCTCAAATCCTTGTGTTCCCTCAAGAGGGAGTTTCTGATAATAAATAAATAAAAAACATTTAGTCCAGTGCCACTCACAAACCTCATGACTGCATGGTTTCTGTTTGGGCTGGATTCTCATAAGGTGATGACACTTATTCACTAAACTAAACTCTGGCTGCCACTAAGTTTAACACGGACACCAGCCAAACATCTCCACTTTCCCTCAGAACTAATAGTGTGTTTCCATGGTAACTGTCCATTTCCTGACTACTTACAAAAAAGAGGAAAATACGGATAAGAAGAAGGGGAGAAAGGAACATTTTCAGGGGTATCATAGATCAAAATGACTAATGGAATGTCCTACAGGTCCCATCCTAATGTCAGTGTACTGTTACATGTTCCATGAGTGTGTGAGGTTACAGGATGATGGCTGAATGTAGGTTTTTATTTTTTTATGCATTCACTTTAGGAATTTGGTATTACATGAGCTTGTGTTCTGTTTAATGCATTTTCATTATATGTTTAAGAATTGTATCATGTTTCATGTGTGTTTATAGTGTGAGTGTTTAGCATGAATTTGAGCTACAAGACACTTTCATTTGGACAATAAAAGTGAAGGTCAATGCAAAGTGTTGGACCAACAGCATGCTGGTTCTGTGTGAGTGTGAGGGAGGCTGGTGGCATAGTCTTTCTGTTCTTTAGCTCCTCTGCAGCTGCTGCAGCACACAGTCACCTTTCATGCACCATTAACAACTCATATAAAACAATAAAGCAGTGAAATGTGACATGAACATGAATCAGAGATACAGCGGTTGGAGTCAGTGTGGGGAGGATTCATAAATGAAAGTGCTGTAGACAATGTACACACCCACACACACACCCACACACACACCCACACCCACACACACACACACACACACACACACACACACACACACAGTACACTCTTAACAGCTGATTAATGTGTGTGTGTGTGTGTGTGTGTGTGTGTGTGTGTGTGTGTGTGGTGCGTGTGCGTGTGCGTGTGCGTGTGCGTGTGCGTGTGCGTGTGCGTGTGCGTGTGCGTGTGCGTGTGCGTGTGCGTGGGCGTGGGCGTGTGTGCGTGTGCGTGTGCGTGTGCGTGTGCGTGTGCGTGTGCGTGTGCGTGTGTGTGTGTGTGTGTGTGTGTGTGTGTGTGTGTGTGTGTGTGCGTGTGTGTGTGTGTGTGCGTGCACACTTTTGCTTGTGGCTCCACTGATCTCGTGGCCCAGTGAGGAGGAACTGAGGCTTGTGGATAAACCCTTCACAGGAAGTTTTGATGATGCAGGAGGAATTGGTCTTCGGGCCGATGCTGCCAGCTGATTGGCTGTAGGTTTGGAGTTGCAGGATGAGGGACTTGTGACAGCAGAAACAGATGCTCTCTCTGCAGCGGTGCGAGGTTTGGGGATACCTGGGAGACAGTAATATGGAATTAATCATTTGTCAAAATACTAACTGTGAACATCATTATTCGTCTGCAACTGAGAAAAGAAGGGACGCCAGAAGAGAACAGAGGAGAGCTGCTCCTCTGTTAGAGGCAGAAAGTGATCCTCTTACAGCACACACAGCTGACCCATCAGGATATAACAGAGGCCGGTTGTCATGCCATGTATAAGCAGACAATTAGCTGCTCTACATCATATTACCAAACCCTAACCCGTAGAGTCTCTCTCTGTTGTAATGTAGTATGTTGTTATGTAAATGACAGCAGTGGAGAGTCATCCTGATAGGGAGCACATTTGAAAATCATTGGGAAAATGTCACAGTGTGAATGTTAACTACAGTGGAGGAAATCATTATTTGATCCCTTGCTGATTTTCTAAGTTTATCCACTTATAAAGAAATGAACAGTCTATCATTGTAATGGTAGGTTTATATAAACAGTGAGAGACAGAATATCAAAAAGAATATCCAGAAATGTACATCATACAAGAGATATCAATTAATTTGCATTTAACTGGGAAATAAGTATTTGATCCCCTTGCAACCAACAAGAATTCTGGCTCCCTCAGACTGGTTACATAAGTCCTCTACCTTTAAAGTAGTACTCCTAATATCAACTTGTTACCTGTATAAAAGACACCTGTCCACAGAATCAATCAATCAGATTCTAACCTCTCCACCATGGGCCAGACCAAAGAGCTCTCTAAGGACCTCAGGGACCAGATTGTAGACCTGCACCAGGCTGGGACTGGCTACAAGACCATCAGAAAGCAGCTTGGTGAGAAGGAGACCACTGTTGGTGCCATTATTCAGAAATGGAAGAAACACAAAATGAGTATCAGTCGCCCTCGGTCTGGGGCTCCACACAAGATCTGGCCCCGTGGGGTATTGATGATCATGAGAAAGGTGAGGGATCAGCCAAGAACTACACGGGAGGAACTTGTTAATGATCTCAAGGCAGCTGGGACCACAGTCACCAAGAAAACTATAGGTAACACACTACACCATAATGGATCAAACCCCCCCCCCCCTGCTCATGAAGAACATGAGAAACCCGTCTGAAGTTTGACAATGAACATCTGAATGATTCAGAGGAGGCTTGGGAGAAGGTGTTGTGGTCAGATGAGACCAACATCGAGATCTTTGGCATCAACTGGACACGCCGTGTTTGGAGGAAGAGAAATGCTGACTATAACCCCAGAACACCATCCCCCCGCCCCCCCGTCAGGCATGGAGGTGGAAACATTCTGCTTTGGGGGTGTTTCTCTGCTAAGGGGACAGGACCACTTCCCTGCACCGAGGAGAGGATGTACGGGGACATCTTGGCCGATAGCCTCCTTCCCTCAGCCAGGACTCTGAACATGGGTCATGGAGGGGTCTTCCAGCAGGACAATGACCCTGAACATACGGCCAAGGCAACACAGGAGGGGCTAAAGAAGAAGCACATTTAGGTGAGGGAGGGGCCTAGCCAGTCTCTGGACCTTAAACCCAGAGAAAATGTGTGGAGGGAGCTGAAGCTTCCAGAGGCCAAGCATCAGCCTGAAAACCTGAAGGGTTTGGAGAGGGTCTTCAGAGAGGAGTGGACCAACATCCTTCCTGAGATGTGCACAGACCTGGAGACCAGCTACAAGAAGAGTCTGACCTCTGTGTGTCCAACAAGGGTTTCTCCACCAAGTACTAACACATGCAAGGGGATCAAATACTTATTTCCCAGTTAAATGCAAATCAATTTGTATCTTTCATATAATGTCAGTTTCTGGATTTGCTTTTTGATATTCTTACTCTCACTTTGTATATAAACCTACCATTACAATTACAGACTGTTCATTTCTTTGTAAAACTTGCCCAATCCCAAACCACGCCTTACACACTCCCCCTCCGTGACGGAGTGAACTCCCTGGAGTGACTCTCAGCTCAACGAGGCTCCCTCCTGTCAGAAGGAGGGAGTAAATACAGCGGCAAGCTTTGGGACAAACTCCCCTCTCTCCGGCAGAAACAGGAAATGCCGTAACTGTATCAACGGTTTCAAATCAGCATCTCTTAGACAAAACATTACAATTAATAACTCAAATAAAACTCCAAACATCTTTAATTGTGTTACTTTTTTGTAAAGCTCTTTTAGTTTTAAACCTGATGTTTATAAGCTTCTTAGTTTTTGCAACAGTCTGTAAATATACACAACTTTATAATAAAATGCACACATTTACCTTTTTCTAGACTAAACACAGGTACGATCCTAAGTTAAAACATATGAGGTTATCATGAGGTTGTTAACATCGCAATTTATCAGTGGATGTTTGCTGGAACTGTTTGTAAACAGCGTGTTTCCTGACGGACACACACAGCGTTGAGTCCGGTCAGGTAGGGCAGCACGTGAAGTCAGCACCGATGCAGACTCGGCGTGTTTCTCAATGTCGAGGAAGGCTCCTCCAGAGCCACTATTTCAAGGATGCTACGTCATCGAGTCCCGCCGAAGGACTGTTCCAATTTCCAGGATCCATGGAATTCTACCGAGGCCGGCGTCCTTCATTTTGGGAAATTTCGAGGCTGCACATGTGTATCCTCCGCGGTCTTAAAATCCCCACAATGCTTTGCGCACGGACCAATTTCCAAAATCTTTGGCGGAAATCGCGCTCCATTTAAGACGGGGCCTCGCATATGACGCACACCTGCACACCTGTTAGCCTGTTCCACCATTCTTCGTTTTCCGAGGCTTGGAAGGATTCTTGCCTCGCTTCTGAAGGAACTGACTCGGAGGGACATGTCCTACCAAGGAAGCGTCCTCGACATTGAGAAACACCCTCGCTGTTTGAGGGCTTGATAGCCCACTCCCCCTCCACACTTGTTGGTTTGGAACAGCACTTAATGTGGCGGACCCTCCGTGCGAACGCGCAAACGGAGGGGTAGTGTGTAGGGGTAGGGTGTAGGGCGTGGTTTGGGATTGGGCCACAGTGTCTGCAGGCCAAGGTAGAGCAGCAGTAAAACTTGCTGCGGCTGAAGCCAGCAGGAAACATCTGGCTTCATTTGGTTTCAGTTCTGATGAAAAGCCAGCCAGAGGAGAGCAGCTGTTTGTTCTTGCCTAGGAAATCAGTGTTAGGTAAGAGCGTGCCCATAGATCTGCCTTGTGCTTACTGTTGACAAAAACAAATATGCACAGCGCCGGACAGCGCAAGTCCAGACCTTTTTAGGTCCCTGACTTTAACGTCATTCTAAGCATAAACCATCAGCAGCTGAAACTTTAATGAAGGAAACCAAAAACAATGTTTGCAAATGCTTTATCATGCAGCACCTCATGCACTTTTATTCTGAGACAGGAATTTTAAATAAGCATATATTTAAAACATTTATTTTGCTAAAGTTTTTATCGTTTGTATTGTTTCTTAATATATAGGTGTGGAGAGCTGAGCGTAAGCATTTCAGTGTACAGTGCAACTGCCTGTTATACTGTACATATGAGAATACAAGATTTAGAATTGAATCTTGAGTGCTTTTCAGCCCACTCAGATGACCTCCAACAAGACCCTAATAACAAGGTGATTTTTTTCTAAGAAGCTCCTGCTCTTAAAGGGACCCTAGTATGCAAATGTTTAGGTTCATATTGTTCACATGTCTCCAGGCTTCAGTGTTCAAAAAGCTTTTTATTTTTCTCATCCTGCCTGTGCTCTTTTCCCCCTCTGTCTGGGGCAGTAGAGTGTGGGAGAGAAACTCCCTCTGGAGGGAACACAGGGATTTAAGCCCCTGCAGACCGTTTACAGGCACACAAACCTTGAGGAGAGGGAAAACCCCAAACATTATAATAGGGCCCCTTTAACTGCACGACCACAGGATACTCAGGTCACTTTGACAAAATACTTATGAAGATCAATGTTCTCTGTGATGATTTATCTTCCTCATTCTCAGTCAGACTTAGTTTGTACAGACAGGAGCTGAAATCAATGGCTGTCAATAGAAGTCATGGTGTACTTCAAAAATGATCAGGAGTAATATACATTTTACACGATTGTGGGCTAACACAAGAAAAACCTTCGAGTTCTTTGGCTTTCCCACGAGTGACTGAAGTAAAGTTGTTTGTTTACCAGTAAACACTAAGAAACCAGTTTTATGGATTGGATCATATTCTCTGCCTTCTAGTTTTAAAGGCTTTGGTGGCTGACAAACGTATTCAGACCTCTTCCTCACGCATAAAACCTTCTCCATCACAGCCCCATCTGCGAGGATGATGTTAAGTGTGTCATAGCGGGGCCTAGACAACAGTAAAAAGCTGAGCAACATTAACAAATCCACCTTTAGACTGTCGAGCAGAGCCTGAATCAGTGCAGCAGACAGCCAGATGTCATGTGACCCTAGACACATTTAGCTTTGAAGTGATGAGATCTGGTAGCTAATTCAACAGAAAGTGAACCAAGGAGACAACGTGTTGTCGTGCTTCAGAAAGACCGGAACCTAAATTGAATCCGTAAAACTTTGGGCCAGGCTCCTTTAGGTTAATTTATTTTATCCTATAAGCAGATTTAGCTGTTTACAGAAGCCTTTCATATATAAATACTAGGGCTGTCAAGTTAACGCGTTAACGCAAAAAAAAATTAACGCCACAAATTATTTTAACGCGATTAACGCATGTGTATTTTTTGTCCTCGGCCGCCCCGTAGTTTCAGAGCGCATCGAGTTTAAAATACCATCTACAAGCTGATGCTGACAGCCCTGCTCCTGCCGCCCGCTTGTGGCAGACCACACTTCCACGCTCACTGGCAGGCCCGGACTGGCCATCGGGAGGACCGGGAGGGAGTGTGTATGTGTGGCGCGACTCGCGCGAGTGAGGCACACCTTACATGTTGTTGTTAGCATCTGGTGCTAGCTAGCTGCGCTAACGGATATAAGGAGCTGTTTCAATGACATTTCGCCGACAACTGCGCCGAGCACTTGACTTTATGCAGGTAGCCAGACAGTGGAACATTGTACGAAAAGTCAGCACACTCAGCACGGATAGTACGCGCAACATGATTGCAGCGTCCAGGCAGCACACGTTCGAGCATATATGCCTTGAGCTGCACATAGCTCCAACGATCCATCACAGAGTCTCCACACACACACACACACACACACACACACACACACACACACACACACACACACACACACACACACACACACACACACACACACGCACACACACACACGCACACACACACACAGTATTATTGTATGAGAGAGGTTCCAGGTTGAATTGAAGCGAATATTTGTAATGTTCAGGTTGTTGTGTTTAATATTCATGAGAATATTTGTCATTGTTCAAATGATAATAAACAAACATATAAAGCATAGTTGTCCACTCATATGTTGATAAGAGTATTAAAAACTTGAAAAATATCCCTCTAAGGTACATTTAGAACAGATAAAAAATGTGCGATTAATTTGCGATTAATCGCGATTAACTATGGACAATCATGCGATTAATCGCGATTAAATATTTTAATCGACTGACAGCCCTAATAAATACATATGAAAGCAATGAGCACATTCATATATTGGCTAAATCTACAATCTTTTTGGCCAAACAAAAGGAAATAATTAATGAATAAAGTCGGGCCAACTTCAAAACGCACACACATTGATTCATTGATGGCGATCTGAGCGTCAAGAGGAATCTGTTTGTTCATGTGTATCAGCAAAGAGGACAGACAGGCTTTTGTCCATCAGAAACCACATGTTACACACACACACACACACACACACACACACACACACACACACACACACACACACACACACACACACACACACACACACACACCCACACACACACACACACACACACACACACACACACACACACACACACACACACACACACACACACACACACACACACACACACCCACACACACACACACACACACACACACTCACACGGATTTCAGCTTTTTCCACCATGTAATTGACACAAAGCAGCTCAGTGATTATGGAAATCAAGGGTCAAGTCACACACAAGGAAACACACACACACACACACACACACACACACACACACACACACATACACACACACACACACACACACACACACACACACACACACACACACACACACACACACACACACACACCCGAGTAAACACCAAGTAAAAATACTGAATAAAGCAGTTTATCATCAGGAATCAGGTACAAATATGTAGTTAAAAGCACCAAGATTGAAAAAGTGTAAAGTTACATTGTGTCTTAAATATAAGAAAAAAGGGGAAAACTAGAGGAAACGCACTCACACCTTGATTTATCTCACACACACACACACACACACACACACACACACACACACACACACACACACACACACACACACACACACACACACACAGTCCAAGTGTCCAGCAGTAGTTTGTAAACTGAAGTGTAAATAAGATTTATGCACTTATACATATACACACACACATACACACAAACACACACAAATACCAGTATAAATTGTCAGTGATTCATACTGTATGTGATAATGTGTACATAAAAAGAGTGTGTGTTTGTGTTTGTGTGTGTGTGTGTGTGTGTGTATGTGTGTGTGTGTGTGTGTGTGTGTGTGTGTGTGCGTGCGTGCGTGCGTGCGTGCGTGCGTGTGTGGTGTAGTGGAATGTGGAAGGAATTTTAACTTGTAGCTCTGTAGTGTCAGTCGGCTCATTTCCTGAGTTTTCTGTGGACAAAGCAGAGTTCTTCTTCCACCAAACACACACACACACACACACACCAAACACACACACACACACACACACACACACACACACACACACACACACACACACACACACACACACACACACACACTGAAAAATGATTCTGTGTGCCTGACAGGGAAGGGTGTTGTGGAGCAGAGCAGACACACACTCCATGTGCTGCTGTGTGTTTACATGTCAGGCTTGATAAAGCGGATGTGTGTGTTCTGAAATGTCTCTACAGACATACAGCAGCGTGGTGACTCACCCTGGCTCTGAATCTGGCTGTGCCTCGCTGGAGATCCACCCCCAGCACTCTGCCAAACCTCTCCCAGCATGGAGTCATCTCTCTGGGCTTGCCTGAACCCAGGGCTTCCCTGTTTTGGAGGTCCAGTCCCTGAGCCTGGAGCTGAAGGCCCCTTCTCTGCTCTGGTGCCTCCCCCCTGCTGCCGGACACCGGGCCCCAGCTTGGAGGAGACTTTCTGTAGGAACAGATGACGTTTAGTGACAGCGTCCCAGCCGAGTGGAACCAGCTCCGAGCTGTGCACCGACACCATGTTTTTCCCCACTAAGAGTCAGAAATGTGGACAGGAGGAAGTGAGGGAGGCGGTGGAGGAGCAGAGGGCAGGAGTGAGGGAGAGAGTGTGTCAAGACAGAGGGGGAGGAGGAAAAAAGAGAGCAGGAAAGAGAGGTAGGAGGGAACATTGGGAGTGTGCTGCAAGCACAAGTGGGGTAAAAGAAAAGTTGATATTGTGTTGTACATTCCCCTTGAGAATCCCTGCTCTGACCAGGCCAACTTTTTCTCTCTCTCTGTCTTACCCCCGCCCCCATCCCTCCCTGTCCCTCCCCCTCTGACTCTATAAACACCAGCACACATGGTGTGAGTTTGTGGATGACGGCCTGGCTTTTGTCTCAGACTTTTTGAGGGAAAGACTCCCCTTATAGAGCTGTTCTGGTATGTATATGATACCTATATGTGATAATAGAGCAGGCAGGGACTAAGAGAGGAATGAGATAATGTTCACAAATCCAGTCTTTTGTCAAAACATCCTCAAATAAATTCCTCATGTGCTTACATTCACACCTTCACCTCCACCCCCCCTTTAAAGGTCTCTTAAAGCCCCCCCCGGGACATTTCAGCTGAGCCCAGGGCTTACTGTAGCATACCAGTACACAGTCATCACGCTAATCACTAACTCATACTCAGTTTGGTAATACGTCAGTGAAGTTACTGCACACGTGTTACACCATCTCTTACACTGTAAGGAAACACGATGATGAGGTTACAGGAGGCCTTCAGGACAAACAAACTGTGCATTCTGACCTTTGACTGTAACCACAACCATTCCAAAATAAAGGCTGAAGCAGTGTTACACACATGTCTTTCTTTCACACGTGTAAAGGTTCTAAACACACCCTGTGCCCTCAGGCTCCCCCTGAGAGAATACGCTGGGGCAGGTTTCAAACCTGTCACTGACGCACTGGATCTTTAGAAACACATACCAGAGACACACAAACTGTACACACACCACTCCCCCACACTTAAACTACAATTATAATGAACAACAACAACAACAGACAGCTAATGGCGCATTTCCACTACAGCGCGGAGCGCGGTTTAAGCGTGCCGTGCCGTGCCCGGCCCGTTTTTGGTTGCGTTTCCACTAGGGGTAGTTCCGGCTAGCGGGTACTTTTTCACAGTTTTTCTGGCTCTCCAAAATCGAGGTTCTTTCCGGGCCAACAACCGGGCTGAATATGCTAAACTAGTGAGAGAATCGCTGGCAACTACAACAAAATGAACATATTTGACCGTGATTTAATTGTAATACACGTTTCAAAATGATGCCGAAGTAACAACATACTGATACCGGTTAGTAAAAACCATGAATTAATGCTTTGACAAGTCTGCAGACAGACGGCAGGTGAAAAACCCTTTAAAATGCGTGTTGTCTGAATGGAGATCGGCTAAGCTAACGTTGTATATGCTCTGACCGTCCACACTCACAACAACGGCCTATACAGACATAAATAAAGCAGCGACTGTATTCACCATGACACAGACAGTCTGTGGTTTGTACTTGTTTCACTTTTGTCTAGTTTCTGAACAGATATGAGGAGCTGTGAGCTCTGAGTGCTAACAGCTAACGGCTGATGTCGGTTTTGTGTTTCTCATTGAAGATGACGTCACGGCTCCGCCTACACTGCGTTACTATAGATACTACCCCAGTTCCTAAACTGTAATGGAAACGTAGCATAAAGTGAGCATGGCCTACTAAGGTAACGAGGCCTAGCCATACCGTATTAAGCCGAGCGAGGCCCTGCAGTGGAAAAGCACCATAAGGCTCACTGCCTTTTTGACAAAGGCATCAGTCAGTCTCTCATTTTATGAATTTTACGGTCTTGAATTATACTTACTAGAGTTGCAACATGAGTAAAATGTTAGTGACAATGTTAAAGTCCAGTATACCGCGCTGTAGCACATACCAGCACTGAGTTTTTCTTTTTGCTGCAGAGCCGGAACCTACAATGGAAACTCTAAATGCCTAACATGCATCTCAAGCTGGAACTGTTTCTGATCCTCATTGGCATCTGAATTCAATCTGACATCATTTGAACTTGTCAACAGTGAGCGGACACACAGGTGTAAGGCTCACTTCAGCATGCAGATAGTACTCACCCTGCTGGGAGTCCTGGGTTTCTTCACAGCAGTCTTTAAAGCTGTCCTCTCAGTGTCTGCATCTTCAGTCTCCACACCTCTACTTGATTCATGGTTATCGGGCACTTCCTGGACTGCTTTTCTGAGAGTGACCAGGGCCCCTTCCTCAGCCACCTCAGACCCCAGAGAGCAGGATGAGGTAGGTAGTGTTCGACTGACGCCCCAGCGTTGTCTTTCCAGGAGTCCTGATACTCACAGCTGTGTGCGTCCAGGTAAACAGACATGGAGTTGTCGTTGGATTCTGACAGATCGGTTGCTGTGTGTCTCTTTCCCTTCTTCTACTTCTTCGAGTCTGTAGCAATCTCAGATGTCGTTCTGCCAGTATCGGGCACAGGCCACAGCTGATGGGGTAGGTTCTGCCAGGTCTTCTGGACTGCACCGGGGTGCATCGGCACATTCCAGTAGGTGGGACATTGTCTGCACTGATCCACAGCTGCACGTGTCTTCTGTGGTGTAGTTCCACACTTTCATCAGTGCTTTGCACCTCCCCTGTTCCACACGCAGTCTATGAAGTGTCTTCCAGGTTGTCTCTTTCCCACAGAGACGTCATCTAGTTTACTTTCCTCCTCTGGAGCCCATTTTGAAATGACAATGTCTGTCATTTTGTCCGTTTTGGTCATCAGGTTGACTTCAAACATGTCATGGTCAAGTGGGCTGTCAGTCCGGCCCACGCTGAGGATGCTCACACTCCCCAGAGACTCTGGGGATGACTCCCCCAGACAGGTAGAGGAAGAAGAGGAGGAGGAGGAGGACATTGGGAAAGCATTGCCATTGTGGTTATCTGTACTGTGCAGAGAGAGCTTCATGCTGGATCCAGTCTCCCCCCGGACAGGGAGTCCCACGAGGGGCTGAGGAAGACTAATTTCTGCTAATTTCACTGATTATTTAGGTATAGTATCATCACTGAGCGATCCGAACTCGCGACAGGGGAAGCAAACACAGACATCACAACACGTACCTTTACGGAGCTTTTACGGGAGATCGTCTCACCGTAGCTGTCAATCTGATCAAAAGACGTGTTCAATGGCATTAAAACGAGAACAAACGTGGCTGAATAGCTTGATCCATAGGTTAATAATGTATCTGTAGCTTTGAAAAAATTAATGGCTAATGGTAGCCAACAGAGTGTATGCAGCTTCCGGTTTTGGCCACGCGTCACTCTCACTCCTTATTTGTTAATGTGTTGGTGTGTGTAGAACTTTCCCTCGATTCCATTGGCTCTAGCGGTTATAAAGAGATTTCATTCATCAAAATCGACCAAGGGGGGCCAGAGATATGGAAAATCCACCCAAATGACCCCAGAAGTGGGTTTTTTGGCTAAATCTCTCTAAAAAGGTCAAATTTCACTTGTTTTGCATCAATCTTGATACAGGGTACTTATTATATGTTGTACTTTGGATTCCTAAAGCTTTTAGTCTACTAACCTGTAGAATGATCGAGGGTCGAGTATCTTTCACGACTCAGGTTTATTGTACAGTAAGTCAAGACATTACAGTAGGCAGCAACATGACAACTCGCGGGCTTACTCTGAAGTAAAGCAGTACTTCGCATGCCATAAAGCATGTCGCAACACTGTCGTAACAGCCTTAACTCAGTATGCATTGTATGCATATGTGACATCTCCCCTTTTTTCCTAGTTATTTAATTTTAAATAACTGTAAAGAGTTTTGACCGATTAGTCACATCATCATCCCGTAATAGTAAACAACAGTCAAACTGTGATAACAAATGTTCATTCAGTCGTACTGACCAACCAAAAGTGTCCTATGAATACAGGTTAACTTCACAGATTATGTTAATCAAGATGGGTAACCAATACCTTCAGTAGTGCTGTAACAAAATAAAATTCAAGATGCAAGTTTTCTTTTCTAAACATTGCAGCAGTAATATCACATTTGTACATAACATTCACAATAAACAGAACTCAAAATTCAGCAGACTCAGAGTCCATCTGTGTTTCCCTATTCATTTTCTCCCCCCCAAAGGCCATAGGTGTTTTTTTTTCTATTCACCCCCAGAGGTCATTGTGAAACACCCAAAACACTCCTGTCTACAAGTCCAACCTAGTGGCCGGCTTACTGACACGGCCAGACCTGGTCTGAACCCGTCCTGGTGTTGTTGTATGGGTTGTCACCTCACTTGGTTTCAGGGTAACAGTCTCTGGTGTGTTGGCGCTTACAGGCTGGGAAATCGCCACAGCACTCTCTGCTGTTGTTAGTGGGATGTGCTGTGCAGGTCGGGAAGTTGGTTCTGCCCGGAGATGAAGTCGGTTCCGCCGCAGCACTGCACCTCCTTGTGTGTTAATGAGGTAAGACCTCGGAGTAACACACTCTTTTGAGACGATTGCTGGTGTCTTCCAGGACTTCTCGTTGTCGAGCTTGGTGTAGACTGTGTCTCCTGGCTGTAGAGCTGGTAGATGCCTGGCACCATGTCGTCGGTTGTAATAAAAGGCTTGTTTTGCTTTCTCACTCGTGTCCTTTTGTTTGACAATCTGTCTGTTAGGCCATTTAGGCCGTAGATTTTTCTCGAGTGTCGGGAGCGTCGTTCTGATCTTTCTCCCCATTAGCAGTTCTGCTGGACTGACTCCTGTGGTAGTACAGGGAGTGGATCTATAGCACATAAGGGCTATCAGCGGATCTTCCTGACGAAGGATTCTCTTAGCGGTCTGTACTGCTCTTTCGGCATGACCGTTTCCTTGAGGATGGTGAGGACTAGACGTGATGTGTCTGAAGTCCAACCGCTGTGCCAGCTCCCGGAATTCTGCACTGGAGAATTGTGGACCATTGTCACTCACAACCTCTTCAGGAATTCCGAACCTAGCAAAGGTCGTTTTAAGTCTCTGGATGACAAGGGCACTTGTCGTAGATGGTAGTTGTAGTATTTCCAGATACCGTGAATAGTAGTCTGAAATCACAAGGTAGTTGTGCTTGTTATGTTCGCAGAGGTCGAGAGCGATTCTTTTCCACGGACGATCAGGCAGTGGTGTGGAAATAAGCGGCT